TGTGTGCTCAGTCGTGTCCAGCTGTGACTCTGTGGACTGTAGCCTGCCAGGCTGCTCTGCCCATGGAATTCTCTAGGCAAGAATACTGGAGTGGGTTGCCATTTCCTCCTTCAGAGAATGTTCCCCACCCAGGAATTGAACCCCAGTCTCCTACATTGACAGGCAGATTATTTACCACTGAGCAACCTGGGATGCCCATATTTCTACCAGTACTACTTCCCTTTTTTTTTTTTTCCTTTTAGTATTTATTTGAGTACAGTCTTTGACACCCTACTGAGAGGTCATGTTTGAATTGGGAAGAATCATGGTGATGCTTTCATACAGAGGACAGTACTTTGTGCAGGTTCTTTCATGAACCTGACCTTAATTTCATGGCTTTAATAAAAGAAAAAGATAGAAAAACCTAATTCAAAGTAAATTAGGATCTTTAATTCAGAAATTCTTCTGCCCATTTGTAATTAAGTTTCTAATTGCTCTCCAGTCCACTTTCCACTCTTTAACTCATTCACTTTTTAAAAATAATAAATCAGCAATAAACTGCCTTAATCTGGGTTCAGCAGAAAGCAGATCGATAAGACAAAGGCTTGAGTGCATGTCCTCTATGCTGGACTATAATCCAGGAAGCAAGAGCCAGAGAAAGTGAAGCCAAGAAGCAGAAGCATCTATACCAAGATACTTGATGTATTTTAACAGATTTCTCTGTCCTGCAGGACAGCCCAGAACAGAAACAGAAACAGAAACCCTGAAATGGTGAGAGGGTCGCCCAAGGCAAGGTTCTGTTAGGTTGCACCTGCAATAAGCCAGCTAGAGACAACTGGTGCTGAGATGCAGGGAGGCCAGATAAATCTGAAATAGTTACAAGTGGCTTCCCTTAAAACACAAAGATATTCTTGGTACATACATTTCTGTGTACTTTTGCTCCCCACTCCCGTCTTTCTCATGGATATCTGTCATTAACGTTTCATTTTCTATACATTTGCATATCATATGAGGATATATACATATTATCTTTTTCCTTTTAAGAAACATGAATCAGGTTATACTAATTCTGTAACATGTTTTTTTCACTCCTCTGTTATTTGCATCATGGTTAGATTTTATCTTGTCAGCAAGCTGATTTTGCCCTGTAGGAAGTTCATTGGAAAACATTGATTTAACATTTGTTGAATTAATGTCTGAATATAAGAATGATAGTTACAGTTCTTGCTTATATTAATAGAAAAGGAATGCTGCCGATATTGGGAATGCAGTGGACAAGGTCTTGTAAAACATGGAATTGTTATTGCCAGACAATTGAACAGCCATCCCAGCCTCCTCTTCCCCGTTCATCAACACCTCCACATCTTCAAATAAGAAGAAACAAAGGATGCCATACAAGGGAGACATGTGAAAGAGATGTAGAGGAGGAAATACTCACTTCCCTCTACCTTTCTCAGTTCTTGACTAAGACCCCTGTAATGAAAGACAGATTAGCCAGAGGAAAACAGAAATTCAGTAACGTGTATCCCTCAGTTATACATGGGAGATATCCAGGGGAAGAAATGAATCTACAAGGTGATTTAGAATTTGGGATTAAATAACATCTTAATAGGGAAGGGAGAGGGGAGTGGTAGGTCTCTTCATTGTTTTTAGTCTCTACATCATGTCTGACTCTTTTGCGACCCCATGGACTGTAGCCCGCCAGGCTCCTCTGTCCATGGAATTTTCCAGGCAAGAATGCTGAAGTGGGTTGCCATTTCCTCCTCCAGGGGATCTTCATAGACCAGGGATCAAACCCACGTCTCCTGCATTGACAGGTGTATTCTTTACCACTGAGTCACCTGGGAAGCCTGGTAGAACCCTTAGTGGAGAGTAAATGATTTTTAGGACAGACCGATGGCAGTCCTGGGTATTCACTGGAGGGACTGATGTTGAAGCTGAAACTCCAATCCTTTGGCCACCTGATGCGAAGATATAACTCATCTGAAAAGACCCTGATGCTGGGAAAGATTGAGGGCAGGAGGAGAAGGGGATGACAGAGGATGAGATGGTTGGATGGCATCACCGACTCAGTGGACATGGGTTTGGGTGGACTCCGGGAGTTGGTGATGGACAGGGAGGCCTGGCGTGCTGCAGTTCATGGGGTCACAAAGATTCGGACACAACTGAGCGACTGGACTGAAATGAACCGATGGTCCTTAGAAAAATAGATGGGAGGTGTGATAGTCTGTGAGAAAGGCTGTCTAGGCATGGTATTGACTTCTCCTTTCCCGGGACAAGAGTCCATCCCGTCTGGTTGATCAAACTCCAGGAAGGGGATTGATGGCAGCTGAGTTCCTATAGGCAGAAAAGGGAGTTCAGAGCAAACCTCTCCCTGCATCTGCTGGTTTTCAAGTGCCCACAACTCCAGATAATATGCCAAAGCAGCACATTTTGCAGTGGCATGTCCTCAACTCCTACAGTTGTATTTTGGGGTGGCATATTATGCTGCCCTTCAGAGACAAGAGGAGACTCTTACAAAGGTTCATCCAGTCAGCAAATGGGGATAAGATGGTACAGACATTGGTCCCTGTCCTCGTGCTGGAAAAGGCGACAACTGAGGGGAAAAAAAGATAAGAGTAGAACAGAGATGCAGACAGAAAAGAAAAATAGTAGCATTCCAAAGGAGTGAGAAATTTAAGTGATGGCTAAATCAGTACAGTGCTTGTGTTAGTATAAGTTGTTTAGAAATAAGTTTAAATCTCAGCCATCTGCTCCCACGTCAAACACATACACGCTGTACCCTTGACTTCACTCCTCCCCCACAAACACGTACATCCCAATAATAATCTGGTGATATGTTTTTCATGATTTCCCACAGTTGATAATAAAAAATACACTTAATTCAAACCAGTGAATTGTGACCCAGATCTAAGTATAAATATAGTGGAAGTCATAAGTTTCTTTAGCGACAGTCTTACTAATTAAGTTATTTCGGCCTGTTTTTAGCCACATTGGATACTTTTTTCTTCTTAAGGTTGTTAATGAATGTTGTTTGTAGCAGCATCAATAAGCCAAGAATTCACACAGTTACTCAATCACACAGATTACTCATCATTGCCTGTTCATAACAGAATCCTAAAGTGCTTAAGATTTCTGATGCAAATCAAACTCTCATCATCACTTGTCATTGCTAAATTAAATGACAGGATAATAACATTACATTAAGAGCATTTTTCTCTTGATTGAGTACCTTTTTCAGAAGTGAACCTTGTAGATGTATATTTTTTCCATCGGTACTATAAATGCATTTAGAGTCCAAGATAAAAATAGAATTGAAAAGGGGAGGAGTAGAGTGGGATGTTTTCAAATTATTGATGAGTCTCTTTTGAATCTCAAATAACCATATTTGACAGGGGATTGCTAGGGAACCAAGCAATGTTTTAGCCCAATTTATTGAGACTTCTATAACTTCATGAGGGAGGTTCACAGGTCAAACTTGGTTTTTATTGACATGATCATGTGTTCCTGGCATCAGTCATATGTCATCCCATTGCAAATAGGCTGTTAGGGACCTGTAGGAACTGTACTGTTCTGTTACTCTAACACAGTAAGATACTGTCTTCTGTTAGATTGCAGCCTATGTGGGAAATGAATATAAATTTCTAACCTGCTAAAGCAGAGTAGGTTCTCAGTTGACTTATTGTGGACTTATCTGTTGGCCTTTCTTTCTTGTCTAAACCTAGTTAATGCCTGCTCTCTCTCCACTGGCTCCAGGCCCTAGTAGTAAAGGATCCACCTGCTAATGTAGGAGACCCAGGTTCAATCCCTGGATTGGGAAGATCCCCTGGAAGAGAGCATGGCAACCCACTCCAATATTCTTGCCTGGAGAACCCCATGGACAAAGGAGCCTGGTGGGCTACGGTCTGTAGGGTCACAAAGAGTTGGACATGACTAAAGCGACCTAGCACACACGCACACAGCCCTTGGCCCTCTTCTTTGTGGCCAGCTGAGCAGTCCTCATGCCACTGGAGTCCATCTCCTCTACTTGTCCCTATACCCAGAACTCTTTCTCCTTTTAAAGTTGTCTATTCTTCAAAGGTACTGTTTCCTCACATCTTACATCTTTAATGTTATCCTAGAGAAAGTCTTTTACTCTTTCTGCCTCACTTAATACTATCCTCACTAGGCAGTAACATGTCAGTAAAAATCCTTAGCACTTGGAGACGTCAGAGAAGGTACAAACTGAAAGAAGGTTGGCTTTGAGTTGACAATAATTGAATCTGGGTGACAGGTACATGGGGCTAGGGGAAGTCACTATAACATTTTCTATAGGTTTATGTTTGGAATTTTCTATAGTAAAAATTTTAAACTAAGATCTTTAGAATCCTTTTTTTTTTTTTTTGATTAATGCTATTTTTGAGTCAGTGCATGAAATGGATGGTATACAAGATGGACTAGGACTAAAACCTAATCCTGCCATCTAAATACCCTACTTCCACCCCACCCCCAAGGAAACAAGATTCTTCCGTGCCTGGATTTGCAGCTTCCCTCTTCTCCTCAGGTCCTGCACATGGTTACCAGAATTGTAGCACACTTCCTCCTTCTTGTAAGTGACTAGATAAACCTGTACAGAACACATTAACTTGGTCCCATTTATTAAGTCCCACTGTGAATAAAGTTCTGTGCTGGGCACTGGGAAGGGGGAATATGAAGTTACTTCCCTCTTAGAGTTCCACGAGAAGGAAAACAGAGGCACCCATAACAACCCTGATGCAGTACAGACTCTAAGAGTTGTGCTCTGAAGTAGAGCTACAGCAGTTTGAGAGCGAGGAATTTTGTCAAACAGATGACTTCTTGATAGTGATACAAACTACTGAATATTATCTTCAAGGAAAAGAAAATCTTTCTTGCTCCTGTTTGCAGTTCTGGCTGCTAAGATCAGCGCTCCATCAGATAAACTTCCCTCTGTCTTCTGAAAAACTCAAATTGACTGCAGTTACCAATGTGCTTTTTTCCCCTCTTTTTCTCTTAAATTATAGCCTTACTTCTCGTCTGCCAAAAACTGGAGAAACCATCCATGGACATAAGTTTTTTATTGGCTTTGGAGGGAAAGGTGCCAACCAGTGTGTCCAAGCTGCTAGGCTTGGAGCAAAGACATCTATGGTATGCAAGGTAAGCATAAAGTACAGTGAAGAGGGTTCTAGAGGCAAGAACCTGGTTAAGACATGAGCTCGTTTTTTAAATAAACTATTTAAAATGAGCAATTCAGTGGCATTTAGTATATTCACAGTGTTATACAACCACCATATCTATCTAGTTCCAGAACATTTCCATCATTTCAAAGTAAAACTCCTTACCCATTAAGCAGTTTCTCCCCATCCCCCTCCCCTCAGCCCCTGGCAACCACCAGTCTGCCTTCTGTCTCTATGGATTTATCTATTCTGGATATTTCCTATAAATGGAATCATATGATATGTGACATTTTGTGTCTGGCTTCTTTTACTGAGCATAATGTTTTCAAGGTTCATCTACCTTATAACATGTATCAGTACTTTTATTCCTTTTGTGGCTGAATAATATTCCATTGTATATACCAGTTTGTTTATCCATGTATCTGTTGATGGGCTGTTCCCACCTTTTGGCTGTTGTGAACAGTTCTGCTATAAACAAGTACATGTACATGCATGTTTAAGTAGCTGTATGGGCCTTTGAGAGGCTCATTGTTTTTAAAGATTTAAATAGGAGAGAGTAATCTTCCTTGTCCTTTGTATTAGTTTCTACCTCACTGAATCCTCTGGGAAGTAGCAGTCCTCAAATAACTTAATGCTGCATTCCCTGAATTTAACAAGTTTATAACTGGAGTATGAGAAGTAAGGGGAATTAGCCTACTCTGTTGGGTTCCTGTGGTCCAGCTTCTAAACAACGGCATGAATCATCTTGTTTTTAGCAAGTTTCACTCCAGCAGCATGGCTTTTGGAAACTTGGTCTAATAACTGGCGGTTTCCTCACCTCTAAGCTGTTTTCTTCTAATGCTATATCTCAGATCAGAACAGAATCTGGGCCTTAATGAACTGCACATACTGATCTTTAATTCTGTTTTCAGGCATATTAAGAAAAGACATGTAAAATATGGAAATCCTGTTTCTAGCCATTCTACTGAAATTATTAAAAATAAAACAAAATTGGCTGCCAAAGTTTCCATTTTTGCATCTTTAATGAAATTTTAAGATGCTAGCATTATTGGTATAACAGGAAAAGTCATTTATTTGCTTTAGGAAAGCTAGCTAGGGTCTGCACAGTAGAAGATAAGAAAAACAGGAGAAATTTAAAAGAATAATCTCTCTCCTGTGAGCTGGGTAGATTTTACCAAAATTTCTCTGAAATGTCATTTCCCATTGTATACAGAACTTTTCTCTCCACAGGAGTCTTTAAATGATGTATAAAGTATACAATTATCACTTCATCTGCTAAGGAACTGTATCTTTATCCTAATTGATGATATAATTCTTACCTGGCTATTTGGTCAAAAACATCACATGAAGCACAAAATTCAAATTAAGAAACCTTCACTTGCTAAGGCTGAACTCTTTAATATTTTAAAAATATCAATTAGCAATTAATTATTGATGACCTATTATGTGCTAAGAATTATTGGACTGGGAGAAGGAGCTGATTAAAAGTATTAGGCCTGACCCATCCTATACCTGATTAGAAATGGGGATTTGGGGAACAATCAGATGGTGCAGGCTTTAAGTGGGGCTTGGGAAGTGAAAAGAGGATGGTATCATTTCCTGGCTGGGAAACCTAGACAGAGAATTGGTACTGGTATTGGAAGCAAGGTACCAAAAATGGGTGCCCTGGGCAGAGGGGAGTCCCCTAGAGTTGGAGATATGAAAGGAGAGTTTAGAGAACCCCCTGTTGGAAGCTTTATAAAAGCTACTCCTGTAGCCCATTAAAGTCAAAAATGGATGTCCCCTGCAATCTCATCCAACTCAAAGATTTTGAGGTTGGTTTTATTTTAGGTATGTTGAACTTGAGGCAAAGAGAAATGCAAAATAGAAATATTTGAATTGTGGAATGGAACTTTGGAAATGAATCATTAAACCATAGGAGTGGAGGTGGGCAGAATAGAAGACAGAGGGCTGTATTTTGGGAAATGCTCCAGTAAGAAGGTTGATTAAACAGTGGTGCTGTTTGTTTTATTCTGGTCTGTGTGTGATGGTTATGTGAACACCTGTACAATTCTGAAAGTTCTTGATGTCTACAGTGCCTGATCTAGTCGTCTGTTGTTTAGCCCCACAGTGAAATTTACCCTGATTGTCTATACTGAAAGGACATGGAAACATGGCCTCATCTAAAACCTGTACAAGTTCACTTTGCTTAGATACCCTGAGGGACCTTTAGATGTAGATTTATTTAAGCTTAAACAAACTGCATCGAGTTCTTAGGCTTCTTAAAAATAAAAATAAAAAATCTTTTGTAATAAGAGTTATTTTTAACCATTAATCATAATATTTCATTCAATTTTGAGGTATATTTTTATTGAGCAAATTAACCTAACTGCCTTATAGCAGTTTCTTAAAGATAACAAATTCCAAGTAGAAAACCAAAATCATTGAATTACTCAAGATAAAAATGAACAGATGAAGCAAAAGAAAAACAGGTAGAAAATGTTCTATGGCTTTCTTAGCAACATTAACCTATCTACTACTGCCTTGCAACAAGCTCAGATTCAAGCTCTGATGAAGGAACACTGTTTGATGACCCACGTACAGCTTACACTGAACTCAGGAGAAATGTCTGTCAGTTGTGATGAGGGCTGCTAAACAAGAATCCATCAACATGGGTACAGTGATGCATGTGTAATGAAAGACTTCCACAAGTTAAGAGTTGTGCAGTCAGTACTCAACTGAGTCATGGGCCAAGGTCATGGTCCAAGGATAATTGGAGGTGATGTTTTGACATTAAAAATTCAGGCAGATATAGAAAATGAAGGTCTACTTGGCAGGGCAAAAAGCCTGTTAGGACACATTGCATCGGACCTCACCCGATTTAAGTATTTCCTCTTCCTCCATTCCACTGAAGCCAAATGTTAGAAGGAAGTTATTTCTAAACATCAAAAACCGGCAGCTCAGGAGGACCATGATAGGATAAACAGCTCAAGGTTCAATGACCCAGCATGAGCCCAGGGTCCTTGCTTCCCATGAGGGTAGAAAGAAGCCATGAGCAGGAGTGGACCCTGACAACCCACACAGCAAATCAGCAAACAGGGAGGACCTTCACAAAACTACCTGGTCTCGCCTCCTTCACACAATGGGATAGTCTAAACTGTCATATAAGCAGTCATCTATTTTCTCTTAAGGATGGTCAGATTCATATGCACATTACTATATTTAAAATAGATAACCAACAAGGACCTACTTGCAGCACAGAGAACTCTGCTCAGTATTCTGTAATAACCTAAATGGGGAAAGAATTTGAATAGATACATGTATGCGTATACACTGAACCCTTTGATGTACACCTGAAACTAACCCAACATTTTTTAATCACTGTGCTCAAATATAAAGATTTTTTATTTTTTAAAGGCATAAAGGTCTGTGACAGAGGCAGTATGTTAGAGCAGTTCTACTCAAAATCTGGTCCTCAGGGCAACCTGTCACTGATCAGGACAGTACAGAAACTTGAGAGTAAGCAGTTAGGAGCATATTCAGCAATCTGAAGGTACCTTTATAGCTATTGAATATAACAGTAATAAATTAGGCCTTGTATTTTATATGACTTGTATTTTTATTTTACTGTTATATTTTAAAAATTATTAGTTCATAATGTATAGAAAATGAAAAAGAGGGAAAAAAAAACCCCAGAAACCTGATCCTTCACCATAAAAAACTTGAAAAGCAATGTATCCATCACGTTAGCCATAAAAGTACCCTTCTAAATGTTAGATTGTGTGCTAAGTTGCTTCAGTCATATCCAGCTCTTTGCGACCCTATGGACTGTAGCCCACCAGGCTCCTCTGTCCATGGGATTCTCTAGGCAAGAATACTGGAGTGGGTAGCCATGCCCTCCTCCAGGGGATCTTCTGACCCAGGGATCAAACCTAAGTCTCTTATATAAGTCTTCTGCATTGGCAGGCGGGTTCTTTACCACTAGTGCCACCTGAGAAGCCCTCTATGTTAGATTACTGTGGGACAATCCACTGATCGTGCACTGAGATTTTAATCTTCAAAGATCAAAACCTAGTCGCCAGGCCTTTATAGATAATATACATAATGAAGTGAAATCTCTTTTCTGAACTCTGTTGAAAGATAACTGGCTAAAATTAGTTGTCTGTATTGATAGAAATGCATGTTCAAACACTAGGATCCTATGACCCTAACCAATATGCCTCATATAGGAAGAAAGGAAGAAACAGTTGGATTATCACAAACCCACCACCACTCTCAGATAAGCAGGCCTGATAATGGAGATTGAAACATTAACTTTGCATGTTAAAAGCCATCATTCAGTAAGGGTAAACACCCATTTATCTAGGATTTAAACAACCAGACAACATAAACAGGAATTTTATGTATTCTTCTTTCATCTTTTATGATAAAGCCACAAATGACAAGTTATAAAATTACTATGAGGGTTTTCCTCCAAAAAAAAGCACCTGCTGAGTTTTGTTATGTGACAACAAATGCAGCTTATAGTCTCTTCAACATGCTGTTCATTGTGACCCTCAAGCACTGAAAAGCCACAAAATCTCTTGAATCACAAAGATTAAATTATGTTCAACTTGGATTTACTGTTAATTGTATCTTCATGTATTCTAACTTTGAAACTCAGGAACCTGTTTTAATACATGTGATCATTTCATGTGTCCCTGGGTATGCTATCTTGGTCCCCTGTTTCATTTACCTCAAGTATATGTTGATGGGTGCAATTACTAGATATTTTCTGCCATTCAAGGATTCCAAGCAGCCCATCATTCCTCACCCATTTGACAGTGTTGGTTATCATGACCGCACTAACGGCATTTACTCTCCTCAGCACTGGTCATAGTTCTGAACTGTGGAAGCTGCTAAGTGGCCCTCCCTCGATGTAGAGAGATAGTTCCAGTCCTCGGAGTAAACGAAGCACCTCAGTGCCCTCAGCATGAGGAACTGCTCTTGTTCCCAACACAA